TTGTACTACGACGAGCTGATGGGGAAGCTGCACAGGATGAACCGGAGCCTGGGCCTGGTGCTCTACGCCGTGGATCACATGCAGAGCAGCGTGGAGGGCCGGCTCCTGCACATCCAGAGATTCATTGGCTGGGCAGGTGACTTGGGGGTGGGGGCAACGTGCGTCTCAGGGCAGCAAGGCGCTGAGCAGCCTCCTCCCCCCCCCGAGTTCGCTGGGCTATGCGCTGCTCGGTGGCTGTGCGCTGGGAACTGGCCAGCCAACGGATTGGTTCTCCGCTTGCAGCTCCGCTGGGGTGGGCTCCACAGCCCAGCTCTGAGCGCTGGGGAGGCAACTGCTCCCAGCGCCTAGGTGGGAGGAGACTTGCGCTACCAAACAGCGACTCCGGGCTTCGAAGGGTGTCTGAGCATCCGCCGCTCAGCGGGATGGAGGTGGCCGGTGAATAAGGCAGCGTACGGCCTTTCTCCTCCCTGCGCTCAGAGACCTGGATTGGAGCCCTGGGCTTGGTCTCCTGCTCTCCTCCCCAGCTGGGGCTGCACAGAGCCTCCAGGCCCTTGTCTGCTGTGCAGGGAGCATGGGCCTGGGGAGAGGGAGTTTCAGAGGTGTCATGGGGAAGGGTGGGAGAGACATTTGCAGGAGCAGACTCCCCTCTGTCCGATGGCAGGGCCTGAGCCGCTTGCCCCCTGGTGTGGGAGGGTCCCAGCCCGGAGAGGATACGACGGGAGTGGGTGTCAGAGGCTGGCGGGAGTAGCAATGGAATGAGCAAGCTGCTGCGTGAGCAGGTCCTGTGGCAGAGATGCCGCCTACCCCTCGTTAATTATCTTAGTAATTAAGATAATTTCCCCCCCCCCCACAAACCCTGGGCGAAGCTGGGCAGTGTAGTGTGTCCCCACCCCCCGGACTTAGGGGAATGTTGCAAGGGGGAGACGTCTCTCCCTAGGCCACACCGCTGGCAGGAACCAGCCGGGAGTTAGCGCTGGTCTGAGCATGGATCTGTCAGGAGGCAACGTGCCCGCTGGCCCGTCTCCCCATCCCGCTCTCTGTCTCACAGGAGTCAGCCTCGGCGCCGCCTGCACCTGCGTCCTGCACGCCGGCTACTTCCTGCTCTCGGCTCTGCTCATGACCTTCCTGCAGACCCCAGGCCTCCCCCGCGCCGTGCTCCTGGTCTTGGTCATCGCCAACGCGCTCTCCGAGCTCAACCACGCCGTCTCCCTGGGCTTCAAGTCCCTCACGCTTTTCCTGGTGCTCGTTGTCACCGGTGAGTGCAGCCGGCTCCCCCTCTCTCCCTGCGCTGGCTTCTCCGTATCGCTGGAACCAGGACCAGGCAGCCTCAGCAGGGAGGCCAAGGGCTGAATGGGCCCCGGAGACAGAGCCCTGCTCTGGAGTGGGCTCACGAGGTGGGGACACGCCGGCACAGAGTGTAGGGAGAGTTTGCCCTGCCGTTGGCCACGCTCGGGTAAACAGGCCTGAGTCGTCAGGCTGTCCATGAGCTAGACCATTCACCGCTCCTGCGGCCGCTGGTGCCGTCAATTTCAACCACCCCCTGACCTTTAAAGCTTGCGTTGTCCAGCCACCGGAGGGGGACAAAACCACCCTGTCAGCTTGGGTCACACTTGCCAGCTAATCTCCTCCTCCCACCAGCCTGTGCTAACTCCCACAGCCCCCTGCGGGGTAGAGCCACAGGGAGTCAGTGGTAGTGCCAGAATTAGCCCCCCGGCGCCCTGACCCCTGGCTCTGAGCAGGTAAGTTTTCCTCCAACAAAATATTGAATCCATAGGTCCATCAGCCCGCTCCCCTGGCTCCCCTTCTGTGCTAGCCGGACGCTGCTCTGAATTTGACCCCAGCTCCGGCTTTGCTCACGTTTTTGTAGGTAACTGGCTGCTGGCGAGCGTGTGCTGCTGCGCCCGGAGCGTGAGGGGCCGGAAGCCGCCTCTGGCGCTCTCACTGACTCCCCAGAGGGCAGCGGGGGCCAGCAGCCCCGAAGCAGAGCTCAAGGATGATCCCCGCTGTCATATCACCTCCACCCCTGACAGGTAGGAGTGGGCTGGTGGGACCAGCACATGGGGACCTGGGGCTAACCAAGGTAAATCTGGAGCACTGTAGGGGATACTGCAGGGGACAACAGGTTCATGGCCAGATGTGCCTTAACAGCCTTCCCTCCTCAGGTCTCTGCTAAGGTCACTTCAAACGCCCTCTGATCACACGTTAGTGGAGGGTCCGGATTAGCACGTACAGTCGAGTTAGTTAGCGACGTGCTCTCGAAAGCCGGCCTTGTTTCAAGGCTGGTGCCAGGAAGGGTTTGTGGCCCTGTTTTCACATGAGGCCCGGGGTTGTCCGTTGACTCAGGTTCCAGCTAATCCCAGGGGAAGAGGCTGGTAGCGAGAGTGCCTGGTATTTATATAGCATCTCACCCTCCACTCTCCCTGCCCGCCGTGGGGGTCTGTGTGCAGTGGGGTGGGGGCATCCAAACCTTACCCGGCTTGATGTGGGTCGCTGTGTTCTGTCGGGATTTACACCGCATCCTCTGGCTGTTCAGATGGGGAAAACGAGGCACGGGTCGTGCAGTGACTCCGTGGCAGAGCCGAGAATGGAACCCAGGAGTTCCCTGCAGCAGGAGCACCCAGGCCTGTGCGGTGCAGAGTCCGTCTGTGTTAGACTGGGAAACTGCCCCGCAGCACCCCAGCGCCTCCAGCCCTGCGGGCTAACATGGTGCACAGAGGCTGGCTCCAGCCGGGCTTGTTTGCTTGCCGCCATGCTGCTGCCCGGCCTCTGGGGAACACAAGTGCTGCTATAGTTGCCGGCAGCAGCCGCAGCATCCTGCCGGCGGGAAGGAGTGAACACCTGTCACCGTGGTGGCTGCAGAAGGGGTGCGCTGGTGCCGAATAGCCTCTGGGTGGCAGCAGAGAGCTCCCCCTGCAATAGCCCTTGAGCATGGGGGTTCCCAGTTGGGCCCTGGGGGACCTCAAGTTACGCCCATGCTTGGCTGCATTAGCTGTATGTTACAGCAGCTGTCCAGCACATGCCCTGGGTCCTACGTCTGCGTGCAGCTCAGGGTGCGGGTGCTGGTGTAGGAAGCCTGGTATGGTTTGGATGCCCCCACAGGTATCGAGGACCACATCTTCCCGTGTGGGGCCAGGCCAGCTGGGATGCTTGTGCACATCTAGGTCTAGTGTGTCCTCTCCTTGGGGCGGGGCGCTCCGGCTCTGGATCTCACTCCCCCATTCTACACCCACTGGTCCGGCAGGATCAATCTCCCATGGAGGCGGGAGGCCCACCTCTACTCTTCCAGCTGTGCCCTGAAGGGGCTGAGGATTGGGCATGTGTCTGGGGCAAGTCTGCTCTTCGTTGTTCTTGCTCCAGGTGCTGTCGCCTAATGCTCACGCGCCCAGGGACACCTCTTCTGAAACTTACAAACTGATGCACATAGAAGATGACGAGGAGGAGAGAGATCATAGAAGATCAGGGTTGGAAGAGACCTCAGGAGGTCATCTAGTCCAGGGTTGGAAGAGACCTCAGGAGGTCATTTAGTCCAACCCCCTGCTCAAAGCAGGACCAACACCAACTAAATCAGATGCTTGGTGCAGAGAGGGCTCAGGCCATCTGGTCTGTAGGGGACATGCACCTCTAGCCAGGACCCCCTGCAGCTTCACGCTCTGAAGGGTGGGAATGGGGGCAGTGGGCTTAGCTGGGCAGGACTTGGGGTGAAACT